CAGTTTTAGCTTCAGACCCAGGCTTTTGTAGTACTGCCTCCTGTGTCGTTAAAGACCTCGCCCCTTCTGGACCTGCCTATGCCTACATCATGCTGGTTCGAAGCCTATTATGTCCGACCCTTCTCGATGTGTTGTGAGACAGGTGTGTTGCATAGGAGGCGAAGCGCGCGCCCGCCAAATTTTCAAAGGAGGATTCCTGAGGGTGCGATGGATGGGAGTTTCGTGCAGGCACGGTGGGTGCCCAAGCTGACGAGGGCTCTTCCTGGCGGGTGTTCTGGATTTGCATGTTCTTTTCTTTTCTTGGTAATGTTCCAGTTGTTTGTTTGCTGATGAAATATTTCGTTGTGGCTCCAATAGTGGTAGTCTCGGGACGAGATGGAGCTCTGGCAAGTGTTCCTGTCACAAGAACTGTTAGCAGAATTGCCTGTGAGCTGACCACCACCAGGCAGTGGTCAAAGCCCTACTGGTCAGCTGCAGAAGAACCGGTGTGGATTTTCAGCTGTTTCCCGTGGATTTGAAACCCCTTTTTTGTGCGAATTGATTACTGTGTACTTCCAGTCCCTCGAGTTACTGAACTCTGTAATGCTACAATTATTTTGCCAGTATTCTTCGCGTCTCTGAGAACAACGCTGAAATTTGTTCTGTGCCATGTCATTGTGATGCGGTCACTCACTGCTGACCACTGGTCAAGCCAACCCATGCGTCCAGGTTACTAGATGCTGACGTCCAGCATGCGAGCAATTTGTTGCTACGTAGACAGGAAAGGATACTTCCCTCCGAACTTTGATCCATTTCCTCACAGTCTAGGGCTTAAGTGAAAAATCGTTCACCTACGGCACCAAAATACATCCCGTGTGTGTACGTCTGTGTGGTGTGTGTGTGTGCGTGCGTGCGTGTGTGTGTGTGCGTGTGTGTGCGCGTGTATGCGTGCGGAGTGCGAAAAATGCTTTGCCCAGTAACTGTTTCATTATTGCGTTTCTTTTCGCTGATGCTTGCAATTTTCCTTTTTTCTCCATCTTGGAGCCCTCGTGCTCACGTGTAGGCGTGGCCTTTTCCGTAGCATCAGCATTTTTCCCTCTGCTGGTTTGACGCTGCATGGGTATCATTCAATAATCCACTTTGTAGGCCTGTTGTCTCTCATTCTTGCCACATGAGCAGTCGAGCTCCGGCGAACACCGCCTCGGTAGCACCCGTTACGCCGAACTGGGGCCACAGAAATTCCGCGGAGAAGCTCGTGAACTGCCGATGTTTCTTGCCAGCCTCCGTCCAGTAGCTCGTTGAATGCTAGCAAGAAAGCCAAAATTTTGCGTACACAATCTGCGATTACATGGAGACCCCACCTACCCGCATCTGGATAGGGAAATCTTGAAATTAATTGAATTTCTGCTTTGTACATGTTCATGAGCTTCATTCCTCTAGCTGCGTGATCTTCCCCTTATGCAGGTGGGATCTGCTTCTGCCCCCTCCCCCTCCCCTTCCCCCGCCACCTTTCCCCCCTCCTTTATAATTTGCGAATGATGAATGCTAAAA